GACGTCAACTCTCATTCCGCAGAGAGCGAAACAAACATGGCGACAGAATGGAGTGGGAAAGGGTGCACGCTAACTTTAATACTGTTCCTCTGGAGTAGAGTCTGCGGGAGTAAAGCGGAATCCTTGGGCAGCGACAGCCGGATCCTCGGCATGCGGCTGGAGAGGAGCGACAAGCCGGCCATGACCACCGAGGACGGGATCATACAGGTAACCGAGGAGAGCGACATCCAGCTCAGGTTCTATGGGCTGCAGATCAGCAATGACACCTGGGCGCAGATTAAGTTCATGGAGCAGGGCGAGGACAGCAGCTCTGACTCCAACAGGACTTGTGCAGACTTCACCAAAGACATCTCTGTGAGGACTAGTATGAGTGTGAACAGCCTGGGAACGTCTGGTGTGCTGGGAGTCAAAATCAAACCACTTAGGAAAAGTGAGTCCCAGAGGGATTATGGGCTGTGCATCAGGCAGAACGGGAGGTGGTTTTCACTGGGAGAACATGATGGAAGGTTGCGTGTGGTGGAGGAGAAGAAGTCCATGCTGCCCATATGGTTCCAGGTGATCCTGATCTGCTGCCTCCTGGTGCTCTCAGGTATGTTCAGTGGGTTAAACTTGGGGCTGATGGCTTTGGATCCCATGGAACTGAGAATCGTCCAAAGCTGTGGGACGGATAAGGAGAAGAAGTATGCGAGGAAGATTGAACCCATTCGTAGGAAAGGAAACTATCTGTTGTGTTCGCTTCTTCTGGGAAATGTGTTGGTGAACACCACGTTAACCATCCTACTGGATGATCTCATTGGTTCAGGTTTGGGCGCTGTGGTGGCATCAACCATTGGCATTGTTATCTTTGGAGAGATTGTTCCTCAAGCGCTCTGCTCTCGCCATGGTTTGGCAGTAGGTGCCAACACCATCCACGTCACTAAGTTCTTCATGTTTCTGACTTTTCCGTTGTCTTATCCCATTAGCAAGCTTTTGGACTGCGTGTTGGGGCAGGAGATTGGCACGGTGTACAATCGGGAGAAGCTGGTGGGGATGCTGAAGGTGACCGAGCCATACAATGACCTGGTGAAGGAGGAGATGAACATGATTCAGGGCGCGCTGGAGCTGAGGACTAAAACTGTGGAGGACGTCATGACTCCGCTTAATAACTGCTTCATGATCAATAGTGATGCAGTTTTGGACTTCAACACCATGTCGGAGATCATGGAGAGCGGATACACGCGCATTCCTGTTTATGAGGATGAGAGGACCAACATTGTGGACATCCTGTTTGTGAAGGACCTGGCCTTTGTGGATCCTGATGACTGCACCACTTTGAAGACCATCACTAAGTTCTACAACCATCCGGTTCACTTTGTGTTTCACGACACCAAGTTGGATTCAATGCTGGAGGAGTTTAAGAAAGGTTAGTGACTTTTTGTGTGTGTTTGTGTGTGTTTGTGTGTGTGTGTGTGTGTGCGTTTTTTTTCTTCTGCAGGTTTTCTCATTCTCTCTATATGTCTAATAGGTAGGCACAGACAGAATCTGCGGACGTTTTTTGCTATTTCTGTGAAGATTTTGGTAGCAAATCTGCGGATTTATGCGAAATGATTTTAGGAGTATCTTAATACTTAATCAGAGTTCATACGGTCATTGGAAACGTCATGGAATTTTGACATGGCATTTTCCAGTCCTGGAAAAGTTTTGGAAAAACCCACAAAGTTTTGTGAAAGACATGGAAAACATATATCTGTATACTTGAATATGAGTTAGTTTTCTTTACTTTTTTTTGTCCTTGTCCAATCACATACTCTCACATTATTAGTGCTGTGGTAGCATTATCCAAATCAATTTTGCATAGATATAAATATAAATTGAAACTAAATAGATTGCTGTGTGTTTTACAATATGCTGTAATAAATTTGAACATGCATTGTTTTTCTTTTACTATGCATATGTTGACATTGCATGAAACATTAGGTCCTGAAAATTTACTTAAAAATCTTGGATAAATGGAAAAGTCATGGAATTTTAATAGTAACAATGTGTATGAATTCTGTTAATACATGGAAGTAATGTTTTACTTTTATTTAAAGTTTACAATGAAAATCCAATTAGATTTACTTAATTGGTAAACGAAGCAAGTTTCATTCAATGTATATTTACTAAAAGACAGAAAATATTAATTTACAAAGTGCATTGTACATAGATTATGTGAACATTATAATATTATTATTATTATGTTACAATATTATTAGTGAAATTATTTAAAAACCTGAACAAATGTAAATTCACACAAGTAAGTAAACAGAATCAATGATGGGCTAAAAATCTGCGGAAATTAGCAGATTTCTGTGTGCACAGATTTCGTGTGGGCAGTAAAAAAAGCTTTTTTTCTTGATAAGACACCTTTTTTTGATGAAAATATATATATTTATGCAATTGTTTGTCTGATGTTTAAGGGAAAATGTAAGACACTATCATTTATTTATTTGTAATAAATTTTTACTGAATTGACTGTTAAAGTAATTTACTTTTTTTTACTGTTTTAAATAATGGTTTAAAGCATTGTTAGTTTACAAAAATAAAAACACATAATCCTGTTGCACTACTTGATTTTGGTTTTATTGTAAAACGAAAACCAAGAAAGCTTGTAAAATGAGATTCTGAAATATTTTATGGCATACTTCAAAAAAAAAAAAGAAGAGGATTCAGTTTTCAAAAATGTTTTATTTTGATTGTTTTTAAATAAATTAGTCTTACACTTCATATTTTTCAGCTTTTTTCATAGTACATGTATTAATTCTGGTACTTCTACCATATTAACCATTTGGTAGAGGTTAATATTTTAGAAATTATGTAATGTGTTGAAATAACTAGTGACATTAGGTGTTAAGAAATGCAATCCTTTTTTTTTCTTCATGGAGAAGTTAAAGGGTTAAATATGTTTTATGGTGTGACAAAAATGAAGAAAAACAATTGAATCTCTCTTAATAATATTTAATGGCATGCAAACGTTTTTTAATCAGATGAGCTTGATTGGTGTTCTTCGACTAATTAAAGTTTTCTGTGGAATTTCCTGATTTAAAATGAGAACATGCTGTCACAACAGAGGATGTTGCAATTCGTAAATTCAATACACGATTTAAAAACACACAAATCCAATTTATAAATTTAAAACATGATTCAAAAATACACAAAACTAATTCAAAAGACGATTAAAAAATGCACAAATCCAGTTCAAATTGGATTTTGTAAATGTGAATTGTGCTGTGAATATTTGATTTTTATTTTATAAGTGTATTATTTTTGAGACTGATCTGCCTCCATACCTGGTAAACTATAATACCAATTCAACTTTGCAGGTTCAGCAATGTGACTATTGTGAATGCACAAATTGCGATATCGATGCTAAAACTCTGTATTGTGCAGCCCTAGTGAAAATATAACATCATGTTAACAGCCCCTATATGAGGTGAGGAATGCTGTAGATGTTGAGGCTTTGTGAAAGGCCACTTGCTCTTCTCCATTCTTTATTAAATTGGCTCCTATCAGGAAAACACACATCTTCGGTCCCTGTGGGTTTTTCTCTCCTCCACTGGCTGTCAGGGTCAGCTGTTGGCACTCTTTCTTCTTTTGTATTCTCTCACTTTCTCCTGCACACAGTTATTGAGAGGTCGCTTTCCTGAAGCTCATGGTGGCCATATGCACACAAAAAATAAGTTTGTTGCTTGTTTTTTAAACTACTAATTTAAAATGGGTTGAAACAACACAACTCTTAGTTTTTGGGACAATTTAATTATTTTATTTTCAATCCACTTTAATTAATAAATAATGTTACGTTAACTTCATTGATTTGTGTTTGGACAACTTAAAGGTATTGTGTGGAACCCTGCAAATTTATCAGTGTACTGTAAAAAATGCAGGGTTACACACAATTCTAAAACACAAATCGATTAAAGTTAACTTAATTATTATTTTTTTTAAATTTAAGTGGGTTTAAAATAAAACAATTAAGTTATCCGCATGAAAATTAAGACTTGTTTCAACCCATGTTAAGTAGTTAACTGAATGTAACTCCAAACCATGATTTTTCCTTCACCAAACTTGACTGATTTCTATGAGAATCTTGGGTCCATGCGGGTTCCAATAGGTCTTTTGCAGTATTTGTGATGATTGGGATGCAGTTCAACAGATGATTCATCTGTCAATTTTTACTGAATTGACTGTTTAAGTCAAGTTATTATTTGTTGCTCTACAACCGGGATCGATGACAAGACTTTTGTCAGGTAGTGTAGAAAGAAATGCTCAGATTTGATTAAAGATTACCTAAAACAAATATTTTTTTCACTAATTATATAGCACAATTGTTCACCTAAAGAATAACAATGTGCGCTCGCAAAGTAAACATTATACATTTGGATTTCACATGGACTTTAAAGCTTCACCTAAATACTGAGGTAGTATTTAACACCCCAATGCTGATTGACACGTGTGCTGTCACCACAACAAGAACCATGACTCTAATAAAGGGGCGAAACCGGTTATCTTATCACCGCTTGCACAAGTTTACCGTCAACAGTCCTAGGCTGTTTTTCAAGAACTTTAACAGTTTTATTGCAAAGACTGTGAAGAAGTATGTACATGCGTATAAATTAACCATTAAAATAGTCAAGACAGCTTAAATGTCATAATTAGAGTCATGTAGTCTAACTGGTTGTCTGAGATCTAATGTAATCAAGTCTGGTATGTTCCTAGTAATATTTCTGGCGTTTTCAGTAATACTGATGTGGCACTGATTCTAGCTAATAAAAATATAGACTTAAAGTGATAGCTTTGGGTGGTATGATTGTATAGATTTGAACAATTAAAATAGAAATTCATTCATTTTCCTTCAGCTTAGTCTCCATTTCAGAGGTCGCCACAGTGGAATGAACCGCCAACTCTTCCAGCATATGTTGTACACAGCTGATTCAGCTTTTTTTCATCTGTTCGTAAGCATTGTTTGTAAAGGTGTTTCCTGAGCGGAGGTTAGATGAGATGGCGGAGCCTGTGCAATCAGCTAGGCTAATATAGGGAGCAATCATTTTTATGTAAACATCATGGGCAATATAAATTACGTCACCAAAAATTATTAGAGGCATGTCCATATATTGCACGATAAGTCAGTATGTTATTGCAAAAGACTTGAATATGTTTCTGATGGCACCTGAAGACTTTGAGCTGATCACACAATGACATCTTAAAGGGACCGTTCAACCAAAAATGTCAATTCTGTCATCATTTTTTGCTTGTATTGTTTCAATGCTGTTTTAGTTTCTTTCATCTGTTGAACACAAAAGAAGGTGTTGGACAATAGAAGCCTTTGACATCCACAGTTTGTATTTGTTCTACTGTGGATGTCAATATCCCCTTTCACACAGTGATACCGGCAAATATCCTGAAAATTTTCAGGACGACTTTACTGGTAAATCAAAAAAATACCATTTTAAAATACCGGTAAATTCTGACATCATTAACCAGAAATGAGCTCTAAACGATAGCACTTGTATTTGTAAACACAGAAGGGGTCCGGCGTTTGTGTTTTGTGTAGAAGAGCTCCGGCAATTTCACTTCTATTCACAGCTTTATCATTTTTTTACAGCTGCAAAGGCAAAAAAGGCAGAAATTTCTCCAAAGGCAGAAATGCGAACCGCTGCTAAATGTTTACACACTTGACTACATTACAAACTCAGTGGATAGATTATTATTATTAACATCTTATATGAAAACATATGGAGGAACACTTTCACATGTCGCTGGTGCTCACCGGCTGCTTCACATGCACTAGTGTCAAGCAACTGAAGCAAAGCTTGAAGATAAACTAACAGTTTGTTATAGGCATTTTAATTTAGCAGCTAAATGTGTCTAGAAAAATATTCAAAGGCCTTTATTTTCTTAAACAGCACGGATGTGAATGCGTCAATATGTTCTGATAGGCTAAAGTAGACGTTTTACGTCAACACGTTCTAATCACAATAATCATGAGAAATCGAGTTCCCCCTGACAATTGGGTCCACCCTGGGTGATCCTATTGCGTCACTGGAGTTGTAATAGGCTTAGTTTGTAGTAGGATTGAGCAATGTCGACTAATTTGGCATCGTATGATGTCTAATGTGAAACATTGCGATGAAGGATAGCACGGTCAGCGTAGGTGGTGGTGAATTAATTAATTATGAATAATTGATAAATTCGTAACAAATTAATTATTTGTAGCCTACCATTTAAAGTACCTGACCCACATGGTCTTTGTTTTATCCCAAGTCATAAATTGTTAAAGATAAGTTACACACAAATTACCACTTGTTAATCACTTTTTCCGCGGCATGAATTCACCTTATTCTCAGCTGACGAGCGGGCGCTGCCATTTGAATCTTTTTGTCTCGC